ATATTTCATCTTCTTTGCATTTCAATTTTATAATATATATTCGTGAAAACGTTCAAATTTCATAAAACTTACGGTTAATAATGCTTTTCAGAAATCTGTGAAATACAGAAAAATTGCAGATATAATTATAATAGTTAATTTTCGTAAGAAGTTCCGTAGTGATAATTTTACTATAGATCATACAGTGAACTCTACTGACTTCAAATGATGAAGGTGAATATAAGCTAAATATAATTAAATTCTGAAATGAGGCTCAAAGTGTATTCTCATTATGAAACTGTTAACTGAATTAAAGAAATTTTCGGCTCGATAAGGATGGTGTTTTTATATTCTTAAGCTTCTTCTGATTTACTGCAGTTAGATCTAGTTTCTAAAGATCAGTAGAGACGATGCTGTTATAGAATCTGGATCTAACCCTGGTAATTCTAAACAATATGCAAAAGATAATTCTGCAGTTTATTGCGTTCTGCATACTTCTTTTAATTGTACAACACGTCAGAATATAAATTATACTCTTAAATTATCTACAAAATATTACTCAGAGGATCGTAAATTGATAGGCTAAAAACAACACTAATCGGTATTATATTAAATAAACAACGATAATAGAATTACTATATGAGACGAGAATTTATAATTATAAATCTGGAATTTGTTATTTAATAATTAATAAAAACTGTAACTCAGTTACTTTGATTCGTAATATTAGAGAATAATAAGTATAATTTTATCTATTTAACAATACTGTAACGTATTTATAGTCTCCTATTTTCATTTATTAGCTTAATTAAAAGAAACGTAAATAATTAATAGACAATCATTTAGCAAAAACTTTTAAATATTAAGAATACACAAAAGAGAAATGGGCTTTTTCTAAATTTAAAACTCGAAAAATGTTTGCAAAATTTAATATTCGATAAATTTTTATTTACGAAAACTGGAATGAAAATGGCACACAGAAAATTCTCTTAATAGAAATTGAAAAATAAAATTTAAATAATAAATTTTAGAGAGAGGAAAAAACTAAAATTTCACAAGTATAAAGAAGTAGTTGCTATATAATGCTTTTCCTCTTCTTTTCAACTGAAAAATTTAGTTTTCATGGCATAGATGGATTTATTATGAACAATAGTCTAATTTACTCTGCGTTACATTCTGTAACAAGAAAGGTAAACTAACAACTGCTTTTAAAGCTGTAAAAACTATTTTCTGTAATAAAATTTATATTCCAATCTTATTGCAATCAACAGTTCCAAATTCTTAAGGCAAATCCTATTCTTTAAACATTTCTTTATATTAAATGAACCTTTATAAAGTCATATTCGTTGTAAAGAATAGCAGGCAAAGCGCACACTGCAGTTTCGACTGCTATATTAAACTTTTTACTTTTTTCTTTATAATCTACGCAATGTATAAATAAAGTATACATCATAATAAATATCCTCTTTGACGTCAGTTGCACGGTGTAATTCGCTATATTAAAGTACAGAAAAGGATAAAATTAATCTACCGCTAACATCTCCAATTTCTTTGAATATTATAAGACTAATGAGAATCTAAAATTTACATAAAATAGAGTAAAATGATTATTATGATAAATAACTTATGATTACTTTATAATATTTCTTCCCTTTAAAAAGACTTCAAAAACAAACTAAAAACAAAAAAAAATCCGGAACATCTATCTGTTATATAACGGTTTTTAATTCAATAACTTTTATCCAATCGATTTATTCATATTGAAAAATACATTTAAAAAAATAATGTTGAGTGTATTGCAGCTTTCTTAATAAGTCACATATTTTTTTCTTTACAGTAAAAAATAGTGGACGAAAGTTGGCGGTAAATGACAAGCGTATTTTTTTTCTCATGTTTGAATCAAAGAAAGGACGAGACGAATCGACGGATCGTGTTTGCTCCACCTTAACTACCAGAATCACCAATTCGAGACATCAAAGTCGGCAAAACTAACGATAAGTTATTGATAAATACATCACATTGAACGAATATTATGCGGAGGGCAGCATCACATCAACGTGGTTCTTTATGCCGAAAATATATTCCATACTTGTAATGATTTTCCGCACAGTTCCACCGACCAACAATATATATATATTTCCGGAGCAAATAAAATTTGCTTCGTCTATTTGTAATCAACGAAAAACTTACCATTTAAATTATTCGAATTACAACGAACACGTTAAAAAATTACCGATAAAGCTGCTTTTTTTTTAACTTTTAAATTTGAGGTTTTAAAAATATATAAATACCTCGATATAAACCTTTTCCCTTCTAAATAGCGGTGTCTTTGTAAAACATAAATAAAATACTTGATACAAAACTTTCCCTTGTGTACTATTTTGCATTAGAACAAGTTATCATCAAACCATATGACTTCCAAACTAAACCAACATTATTACATGTAATTCTTACTGTAAATTACTTCACTTTACTACTAAATCGAATGTGGCACTAATCAAAGGCGAACAAATAATGGCACTAAATCGAGGTTAAGTTTGACTGCATTTCCAATTATTTAAACAACAGAACACTTGAATTACATATACGTATTATCCATAATTAATAAGAGTAGGATTATACTAAAATTGAAGAGAATTATTGCAATCCTATTCGTCCTAACTGATCAAGATCGAATAAAATTTAATATATGTTTTAAATATATTAGACTTTGAAATGGCGATTCTAACTAATTATTTTTAAGTTTAATTGAATGAAATAAATAAATAAATACATCACTATATACAATAAAGATTATTTATGATGAAGGAATGCCAAAAATAACCTAATATTTTTATTTTATGAAATATTGAAAAATAAAACTGTGCAGTAATAAAGTTAATCTTTTCACATTATTCACAGAATACATTATATATAAGTAATTAAAAAGTTTAAAAATCTTTGTGGCAAGAATCTAGTTTTTTTTGTGTTTTGTTATTTAGAGATTAAAATTTATGATATTTAAGATGATAACTGTCAGAGGTTTCTATGCATTATCAAACCAATTGTGATTACAATAATGTAAGCGCTAATTCTCCCTAATTGCCAGAGGTGATTTCATTTATTCCTTTTATATGAAAATCATTATTAATGAAATGTAAACATTTACATTTGATTTAACATAAAAATATTTTTACAAACTTATAGAAATGCATAATGTATATTATGTAAACACATAAAAACTGTAAATACATTATTTGCACAATAAATTAAACTTTATGAAATGTTCGTTTGTTTAGTTAATATAAAAGTCGAATAATTTCTCTTAAGCTTCATTTTTATTTTAAAAAATGTTAATTAAATTAATTAACAACTACAAAATTTTTAAAATTTAACAATCTATTAAATGAAAAATTTTTCCACATCTATACCGATTATAAATGTTCAACTGAAAATTAATTTAATATAATGATAATAATATATTCTTGTGAACAGAATCTGAATAAAAATTACTAAAATCACAATCCTATTATTACAAAATAAAAATTATAATTTTATACTAATCTACAAACTTTAAAAAAATACTACCAGTTAAAAGATGACAGGTAAAATATCATAATTAAGTACTTAATATTAAAAATTATAAAAATCATGATTAAATCAATATTAATAAAAGAACATTTATTTTGAATGTTTCATAGAATTTATCCTTTATGATCTTTAAACTTGTTTTATTTTCAATTTTCTTACATTAGTCTATTGTTCAATCAAAGATATTTTCTTTAACTCTTTAGCCATTTGCTAATTCAAGGTTTTTCGATTTATATAAATACAGTATAAATTTTAATTCACGTTTTAAAATTTTATTTATTTTTTTAAAAAATATTTCAGTTTAGAAATATATATTCCTTTCTATAAGAAATTAATCAGGCATATTAATGTTTTCCTAAAATTTTAATTTTTTTTTTAAATATCCACTTAATGTAGACAATATTCCATATAAATTTTTTTTATCTCATTCAAATATAATGAATATATTTTGATCATGCTAACATACTATGCAATTTTAGAAGAAAATAAATATAGGTTTGCAATTTCTCATTAATATATTATTATTCTCCTAATAATGTTTACAATTATTTTTATTTCAACTATTTTGTTAAGCTAAATAACACAAGTAAAGTTTAAATTTAGTTTAATATAACATATTAATTATCTATTATATATAAAAATAGAAATTTTATATATCTTTATTAAAACTTTTCTCACTGATAAACAATGTACAAATTAACTACTGATTTCATGAAATCAAATGAATAAATTTATATCTAAAGATTACTATTTTAAATTTTTCATTTCCTCATTAGAACACATTTTATGTTCTTTCTACTTTAAAGTCGAAATATATGAGATGAAGATATAGTTAATATATAAATGCAAACTTTAAAAAACTTCACTTTCATGTTAAACAAACATCAAAATTATATATTTCAATATGTAAATTCTATCTAGTATTACAGATCCTCTATTTAATTTCCTTATCAATAAATCATTATGAACATAACATTCTTTCAAAAATGTTTTTGACACATAGAAAGATAAAAAATTTCTTAAACTAATGGTTTCAATTGCATGATAATATTTGCATGAACTCATTTATCTTTCTAAAAGAGAGCCTTACATCAGACTATCTCCTTTCAAATAGTTCACATATCTTTCCTTTAAAAGCACAAATGTACTCAATCATACACTTACTACATATCCATCTTTTCTTGTTTCAATTAGTTTGAAAATGCAGAAGAGAAAAACTTTTTTCATACCATATTGGAATAAAAAAGTAGAATTTTTCATGTTCTATCAGATATTTAAATAGATATATATCATATAGATCAAATTATGAAATCAGTTAATTATCTTAATGTACTAAATAAGATGTAAGTCGAGGCGAATTTTTTAACATTCTAAAAATTATAAAATCTTAATGTTAGAACCATTAATATGCCTGATAAAATTTATTATAATAAAAAATTGGATCTACTTACTTTGCCTAAACATTGTCTTTTATTCATGGCCAGTAGAGCAGCAGCTGCTGCTTGATGATCTGTGAATTCCACAAAACAATAAGGATCATTGCCAGGCTGAAAAGAGAAACAAATATTTTTAATTTTGATATTTTCTTTAAAATTATCTTTATATTGATGAAACTAAGTTTATACTTATAAAATAATCAGATTAGAAAAATAATTACAATATGTTTTTTTTTAATTGCATAATAACTGTTTTTAATAATTACATTATATTATAGTTTTAAAGTTTTGTCTTCTTTAAATTTGTTATAATATTTGAGTCAAAATATATAGTTTTCTTTAAAAAATATAACTGTTACTATACTAATCAATTTATCATAACTGCCATTTTGACAAACTGTATTAATCTAAAAAGAATTTAATAAATAAATAACATATAAGAATGTTTTAAATGAGTATCACTCTTCTAAGTTAGGTATATATACATTAAATGAAAGAGAAATGACAAAATAGTATAATCTGAATTTCAGAAAAATGATTACCTACATTATGCTATATATATAAAAGATATATTAAGATATAAAATAAAGTCATGCTTTTAAAATATCAATTATAAATCAGAAATTCAGGATGTAAAATTTTTAGCCTACATTTAAATCATTAGTTATCAAGTTTTGATAACAATTTTTTGATAATGATAACTAAACAAACATTAAATACACAAAAACTGAAACACTTTTTATATCTTTAATATATAACACACCCAACAGAAAAACAACATAATTAAACTAGTGCAAAGGATAAACTATTTTTTAACTAAATTAAATTCCTTTTAATCTAATTAAATAATTCATGCAATGTTTTACTTATTTGTTGTATCCTCATTCTTGTCATCACTATATTCATCATTATCTTGTCATTTAAGATCAAAATATAATCATTATTGCTACAGAACATCTTTTCACTATTCATTTACATGGGTATAAAATCTTTAGCTAAAATTTCATCAATATTCTTTTTATTTTAAAAAATTACCATATAAAACCTATTTCATATTTATGCCGTTTATTATGAATTTAGAACTGCATGAATTAGATCAATAAAAAACAATATCAGCATGATAAGTTAAGTTTCAAATATACATAGTAATTCTAACAAAGCATATAGATTGCAGTTTTGGCTCTGAATTTCACCAGACTAGCAGTGTAAAGAGTACTGGAATAAGTAAGAAGTAAACATGCATTTTCTAACAACTAATCTACAATATTCTGATGTGGCAATCTTATTTTGGCTGAACAATTCATTTTTTCAAACTATACATTCATCTACAGATCAAATTAATTCATACAGATTTAACTATTTTACAACTATTTCAATTTGAACTAAATGAAAACCACTGTTAATTTCAATGTATTAAATTTTCTCATACAGTATTTGCTTTCCTATATTAACAAAAATTATTCTTAAATTATTGTAATTATATGTATGTATGTATGTATCATATTCCTACTTAATCTCAGCATTATAGTCTCCTAAAAATGTAATTATTATTATTACAAGTTTAAAACATTTTGCTAATATTTATCTTCTACCATGACTACATCTTTAATCACAGGTTAAACATCAGAAAAATAAAATTTGCTTTTGCATTCCATAAACTTTCAACTACAATTTAGTTTTTTACGAATTTTATGAACTAAATTACCTACTGTATATCTAAAATAAGTATATCTAAAATCATTTATTTTTGGCATATAATCTGAAAAATGCTCATATAATTTTTGTAATTATGTATTAAGTATCATCAAGTCTTGATGAAACTAAATGTTTTATATTATCAGTAATAAGCATATTTTAGTAATTACCATTTGTAAAATGTTTATCAGCTTTGAGTACAATATTAGTCAACTATAATGGCTTCATTATGTCAAAACAATCTAAAATATAGTTCATAATGAAGAATGTCTTTGTAATCTAAGAATAAAACACGCAGCATTACTTTTTGATTATAATATGACTTTGAACATTGCAGATGACAACTTATCATGTCATTTCCATTGGATTTTAAGATTTTGATTAGTCAGAGGATTTTTTTATCTTTTTTATCAAGATATCAAAAAAGTTTTCATCGCATAAAAAATCAAGAACTTTTAACTTTTCAATAAAACTAAAAACTTGATGATAACAGGATGGATGAAATGCCCATGTGCATATAGTATAATAAACTCTACTTGAAGAGCAAACATTGTATCTTTGCATTGCACTTGTGTACTTGTTATAGCTTTCAAATTATCTATCATTTACAACTTTTATGAATATAATACATTTAATAGTTCAAGGAATAATGCATTTGATCTTTTCAATTAATACTCAAGATTCATTTCTTGTCAACTTTTACTGAATGTCCTGCTCATGGCTTATCATTTATGACAAAGTTCCTCTGCCTGAAAACCATTTACAACAGGTGCTTTGTGACATAAATACAATTCCTTTCTCCATAAATTTTGCAAATTTCATTTTTATCACAATGATTTTATTATTTCATCTGTAGAACTAATAAACATTGCATATCTGAAGACTATTTTCTTTTCACTTTAATCATCAACAGTTTATTCTTTATGGTAATTTATCCATTTAAAGATTTTTTTGAACAAGTGCAACCCACTTTAACATAAACTTATATATATCAATGAATGACTGTTATGATTATATATCAATATAATTATCATCAAATTTAAAACTGATGACAAACTTTGCTTAATTATTCAATATTCTGAAAATTCATATTACTAATATTTGGATTTGTTTGTTTACAACTACTGTTTTCAGAGTATAATACCAAAATGCTTCAATGCTGATTTCAGTTAACCAATAAAGATAAAGTAAGTTTATTTACACATACATAAATTACTCAAACGTTATATAATCACTTTATAAAATCAATTTCTAATGTTAATGATGTCCATGCTCAATACAATCATTATATTAAAATTTTAAATAGTCTAATAAATGAATGAAGGCCTGCACTAAAGGCAGTAAAATTAGTAATCTTATTTGACATTGTTTCAAGGGTTAATATGTAAGAACTTTCTACAATCAGCAATACATAAACTACTTTTTTACAAATGAAGACAATCAGGTTCAAATGCTTGCAGAAATATTTAATACTAGAAACAATTGTTTAATCAATTTAAAATGAAATGTGAACGTTTCTTAATATCTTTTAAAGATATAGCAGAAACTCAAAATTAAACAATTTAATTACAAATTTTATAACTAAATTAATCTTTGAAATTTTTTTCATTAAATACAAATAATATTAAATTACGGAATCATCAAATATGTATATAGTTCTTTTACAAAATAGGTATTATTATTAATATCAAACAATATGACAATGATAAATAATATTAATTATTACAAAAATGCCTTTAACAGATTATAAAAAAAAAATCAAAAATTATTGATAACCAAGTAATTATTTTATATTTGATTTCTTTAATGAAATAATTAACAAACTGATTATTATTAACAATTTGTTTTATTTTTTTTTGAAAATTCATTAAAACTGATTTATACAATTTACACATTGAGCTAAAATGTGTAATTTAAATCATTTTTGTATACTTAAAAATATATAAACAAAATACATTAAAAGCTTAGGCAAATTCTAATCTGTAAAGTAATGACATTATATCATAATACATTCTATATTAAAGACTAATGTGATATTTTACATTAAAAATGATTTCATATATTTTATATACATATATATATATATATATATATCTGATCAATAAATTTATAATAACAAACTGAATATTCTACAAAACTTTTAAAAATCATATGTATTTAATAAATAAAAAGTATGAGTTCAACTTCATGATTTTCATTATAAAATTAACTCATTTATAACAAAACTATAAATCTAATAATAATTTAATAAAAATTCATTTCAAGCAGTCTAAGTATAAAATAAAAAAATTTTTGTTACTTTTTAAAAATTACTATAAATATAAGCCAGTGTTAAAATAATTTAATACAAGTAACAAATCTTTAAAAACTACACATGCTGTATATATGTACTATACCTTTTAAAAATTTGAATCTTAAAAGACCTTTTTCTTTCATTTTTTCTAATTCAATCAGAATAATCATGGAGAAGCTTACAATCCTCATATAAAATTACCATAACTTAGCATTAAATTATTTAGTTTATCAAATTTCTAATTTATAAGATAAAACTATTTGAATAATGGTAAATTAAGCAAAAATGCAATTACAGAAAACAAAGTTTTGAATTCATAACTAATCTTACTTTGAATAATAAATCATATTAAGATCAATAAAGATTTAGATATATAAGATTAGATTTAGGTAAAGAAACAAATCGAGTGTTTAAACAATAATTAAATTAACTTTAAATATTAAGTAAACTCAAGCTTCTAAAACAATTAGAATGTTGGAGTATATTCTTAGTAGCATGATATTTTTTTATTCTTTAAATAAACTTGAAATATTAGCCTTTCATAAGACAATTTATACTCGTACAAAGTTAATGTTCTAAGGTTTAATAAACTTTAGATAAAATATTAAAAAAGTAAATTTAATCTATCAATCACATTAGACATAAAATCATGAAGTAAACTGTCTGAAGCATGAAAATAAATTAATAACTTAAAACCACTCAAACTCACAATCAACTAACATAATTAAAAATTTATATTCTGGTATATAAAACTATATATTAAAGAAATCAAATGATAAAATTTAAAAGTTATGAATCAATAAAATTCAATCAGAACATAATTTTTAATTAAAAAAAGTACTAAAATAATTTAATTTTTATTTCTTTAAAAGAACTTAAAACTAGAGTCATAGCAAGAACAAAATTTTAAAATATATCAAAATTATTTTTTTGATAATTATTTAGATTTGTAATGAAACATTATAATATATAAAAATATTTAATAATATTTGAACTGTCAATTGCAGATGATTTTCAAACTTTGCACAAACATAACATTCTCATAATTATATATGTATTACTTGAATAATTAAATCATAATAAATCAATGAAAAAGGCTAAATCCAAAATAAAGCAAAAGTGA